CACCCCCCCCCCGGTGGCCCCTGCAGCACCCGGCCCCCCCAAAGGGCAGGGGCCTAGCCCTGGCAGCTGCGCCTTGGTGGGGGCAAAGCGGCCGAGGGCGGCGTTGGCACCATGTGGGGACCCCGCAGACCCTGGGGCCCATCTCCGCAGTGAGGCCTTGGCACCCCCTGTGCTGAGTGGGGTGGTGCCGGGGGCAACCTGGCCCCCATATTTGGTCCTGCTCCAGGTGCTCATACAGGGCTTCCTGCCACGCTGGCATGGTAAAGCACCACGGCAGTTACAGCCACTGGGCAGAGCTGCGGCGCGGAGGACACCACGGCGCACAGACCCGGTTCCTCGGCGTCCGGATGGGCCGGGTGGGAGCGGCAGAGCCCCCAGCGCGCGGGGAGAGGAAATTGGTGCAGAGCTCGTCTGCAGCCGCTCCACACGGGCCAGCACAGGATGGAAGGAAACCGCGAGGGGGGCGTCGGCCCCAATGGGCGCTGCACCTGTGGCTGTTGATAATAAAGCGCATTGGCTGCCTGGTACTGTGGGCCCCGCAGGGGCCGTGTGCAGTGACCTGCTCTGTCTGCTCCAGGGGTCCTAGGACAGGAGTGGGCAAAATGCAGCCTCAGCCCCCCAGGCCCTCCTGTCCCTACCTGCCCCCCACTCGGCGTGCCTGGGGCAAGTGTGTGTCTGCCCCAGCTGCTGCTTCCGCTCTGGCACCACCCTCAGCTTCCAGCCCGGCCAGTGGGAGCTGGGGGGGTAATACTTAGGGGTCGGGACAGTGCAGAGATGCCCTGCCTCCCCCTCTCCCACCCCCCCTCCCAAGACACTCTCTCCCCCCCTCCCCCGCAGAGGCTGGTGTGTGGCCTGTGGGGTTACCAGCTGGGAGCCATCTGTGGTAAGCACCTCCCGCCCAGAACCTGCCCCCCCAACCTCTGCACATGCTGTCCCCCATTCTCCCACGTGGCGCACACTCCTGCCCCCCCAAGCTCCCTCCTGCACCCAATCTCCCTCCCAGATCCCATGCGTACAGCCTGGGCTAACTTGAGTCCCGCCCCCCCCCAAGCTGCTCTGTGGGGCTGGGCCCTTAGCCTGGGGCGCTGCTGCTTGGGAACTCCAGGTAGTGCTGGGGCAGCGGGCTGGCTTAGCGGCTGGGCACAGAGAAGGCCAGTGTCCTCCCCTGGACAGCACAGGCAGGGGAGCAGGAAGAGCCCCCACAGCTGCCAGTGGTGGGCCAACTGCGGCAGGGAGGGGCAGGGCTGGCACCCATGGGTGGCACCTTGTCCAGAGGGGCCTGGTGGGCGGGTTCTGTTGGGCCACTAGCCTGAGCTGGAGCAGCTGCCCGGCCAGGCACTCCAGGGGCCCTGCTCTGCCCTCCCTTTCCACGTGTGGGGCTCCCCCCAGGGCACAATTCCTGGGCCCCCGGCCAGTGCATCCACTCCCCTGCTCTAGTCACCCCGCAGCAGCTCTGCCTGCCTGCTGCCTGCAGCATCTGATGGAAATAAGGGGGAGGGTGATGCTGTTGCTCCACCCCCTTCCTGCTGCCACCCCGAGGGCTGTGGGACACCCCACCCCCGTCCCTCTGTCCCATGGGAACATCCAGCCTGCTGGGGGCGCAATTTGTACTCTGGGTTTCAGCTGCAGTGAGGCCCGGGCTGGAGGCCCATCGCTCCTGCCTGCTGCCTGCAGCATCTGATGGAAATAAGGGGGAGGGTGATGCTGTTGCTCCACCCCCTTCCTGCTGCCACCCCGAGGGCTGTGGGACACCCCACCCCCGTCCCTCTGTCCCATGGGAACATCCAGCCTGCTGGGGGCGCAATTTGTACTCTGGGTTTCAGCTGCAGTGAGGCCCGGGCTGGAGGCCCATCGCTCCCCCTCAGCCTGCCACAGGCCCGGCTCCCTAGGCCCCTGCATGCT